TCTCTCTCTCTCTCTCTCTCTCTCTCTCTCTCTCTCTCTCTCTCTCTCTCTCTCTCTCTCTCTCTCTCTCTCTCTCTCTCTCTCTCTCTCATCCAGATCCCTCTCTCTCCTACACATGCTCATGCGACGGATTTGAATCTACACACGTTCACGCGTCCGTCGCCGACTTCACGAAAGACAAGTACCGTTAGTCCGCTCCAACAGAAAGAGAGCAAACCACGACGTCTGTCAGAACATACCCTCCCTCAAAATGTCGATATCCCCATTCAGGTCTTCCCTCTGCTCGAAAGGCGCATGAAGGACCACCGTGTACGTGGCCGGGTGGTGCATGCGGTCACGGAATTCCATGGCGAAATTAGTGATGAGCATGCGCACCATCTCCGCCAACGAACCTGGTCGGCACAGCCGTTCCGACCCTCGTGATGTGCATGATGACTTCGCACAGCGCCCGTCGAGTGAATCCGAACCCTACGACCACCGCAAGATATGTCACCGCATTCGCGTCCGCGTCATAATATCTGAAGTCCTCACGGTTGACATGATGATCAAATTCCATTGCCCTTCCCTACGCGTCGCCTCTCCTGTGCCGATACTCGTAGAAGACGACAGTGCGGTTAAGCACCACGCCGCGACAACAGATGACGATGTCCATTGTCGCCGCCTTAGATGGTTGTCGATGGAATGGCGATGTAGAATATTCCTTCACGACCGTTTGTAGACACCGCACTCCCCTTTAACCCGACCCGTGTCCCAACGCCCCCCTCTTCTGACACGTGGACAGCCTTCAACGGCCACGGCACGACACTGCCGACGACCACCACCGCGCAGCACAATGATAATAACCATGTATGCCGCTGTTATATAGCCAGCGGTAGGTGGCACGAGTGTTGGAGTGGGGCGGTGCAACTTGGACAGTAGGAGACCGTCATTGTTCCTCGTCGACCAGTCGTGATTCGACCAGTCGTGATTCGACGGCTCCATACGGAGGTGCCGATTGTTCCTCGTCGACCAGTCATGATTCGACGGCTCCATACGGAGGTGCCGATTGGAACACACAATCGAAAAAATGCATTCCATGGCAAGGAAAATACAAAAACAAAAACGAAAAAAAAAAACAAATGAATTTACAACATGGAAGATCTCGTTCCACCCCTCCGCGACGCATGGATTGCGTGGTACGGACGAAAGAAAAAAACAGGGGGTGGGCGGAAGGTGATTATCCCGATTCCTCGCAAAAAAAACATGCTTCGCCCCGCAAGACATGACTTCGCGCAGCGCCCGTCGAGCGAATCCGAACCCTACGACCCCGTGATTCGACGGCTCTATACGGAGGTGCCGATTGGAACACACAATCGAAAAAATGCATTCCATGGCAAGGAAAATACAAAAACAAAAATGAAAAAAAAAAAACAAATGAATTTACAACATGGAAGATCTCGTTCCACCCCTCCGCGACGCATGGATTGCGTGGTACGGACGAAAGAAAAACTACGGGGGTGGGCGGAAGGTGATTATCCCGATTCCTCGCAAAAAAAACACGCTTCGCCCCCCGATTCCAACCCCCCCCCCGACGGCCCGACATGTACCCCCTCCCTTGCATTGCACGACGCTGCCCCTCCTACGGGCGTGACAACGCCTCTGCGATCTTCAACAAAGCGTCACACAACATCCGCTGGCCCGCATCCATCACGCCGCACTGTGTCTCGTGCACTTTCACCTCCCTCTCCATGATATCGCACTATCGCTGAAGGACGTCGCACTGTCGTTTGCTTGCCCTGTCCATAGAATCGGCCACGACTGTTGAGTGACTGAACATTACGTCCGTCACCGCCTCAAAAGCCTGCTGCCTTGCATTTTTCCTTTTTGTGAACTTCATCCCGCTTGACGACCTGCTCGCGCAGCCTTCACCGGCCTCCCCATCCCCATTCTCGCTCGCCGAAGTTTCGCCCGCGCCGCCGTTGTTTGCACCAGACTGTGTCTCAGAAGCCCCCGTGTCCACCACATTCGGCGGGTGGATGGTTTGATTACCGTGCTGACCGGCATGGATTGCCTGGTAAAGTCGGCGATCCATCTTGAACTTGTACCCTTTCTCGGCTCGTTCTTTCGGCGTCAGCGTGAAGAACGACTGCAACCCGGACTCCTTCTCCCTCCATTGCACCTTTTTGTACCACGAGAACATATTCTCCCATCTCTTCATGCACACATCCCACTCACGTGTCACTCCCTGCACCTCCATCCTCTTCGCGATGTCAGTCCATTTCCACTGCTTCGTCTTCATCCTCGCAAAGTTGTGGCCCGCCGCAGCAAGAGTTTCGTCCTGCTCCCTCTTGCAGTGGATGAGGGTGATGGAGTCATCCAGACTCCATATTATCCTTCCACTGCCGCTCTCGCCACCCCCTTCCTTCCCTTCGCCTTCCCCCGCCCCTTCGGAGCTGGTTTCCTCGCCGGCGTTCTCTTCTGACTCTTTGTCGTAGGCCATGGCTACTCAGCCTCGACTTCGTCGTCTTCGTCCTCCACGTCGTCTGCTGCTCCATCTTCCATGATTTCACAGTCCGCACCCCCAGCGGCACTGCCATCTCCGTCACTCGTGGCGCGCATCGTCGACACCTTGGCGGTGATGTCGTCCACGACATTGGCTTGCGTACCCTGCGATGATGCCCGAACCCTCGTCGTCGGTCGCGTCACCGTCGGACCTATGTGAATGTTGATGTTCGCAGGTGCGGCTGTTGGCTGCAAGCTCGCAGCACCCGGCCGCCGAGCCGACTGTCCGACTGACGCGTCTCCCTCCGAACGGCTGGCGGGATTGATGATAAGCGTTCGCGACGCGGCAGGGTGACCCCCCGAAGACAACTGCAGATCGAGGGGTGGGCACATTCCCTGCTGCGATCCGTCGAACAGAAGCGACGTCATTGGCCCCTGCCTCGGCCGCTGATCTTGCACCCACACTCCACTGTCCGATAGGGACTGTGTGGAGCCGTGCGCGAGGTCGAATGTCGATGGAGGCGGCTGCCAATTCTCATCGTCGGGAAGGGGCTGAAGATGCTGCGGCAGGTGCGCATAAAGTGCTGGATCGTAACGTGGTGTGTCCGACTGAAAACAGCCCTCGACGCCACCCCCCATAACCCTGTGCATGAACATGTCCGCCCCGTCGCCGCGGGCACCCATCCCTCCTTTGCACGCCATACGCTTGCTCGATCTCATCGGTTTCAGCTTGTGGGGCACAACCCTTGCACGCCTCGAAGACCAAAGGTGCAGTATGAGCAGGAGCAGCAATAGGAGGATGAGGACACAAAGCAGCGACAACTTCCTCGCATGGTCCGCCATGCACGTCGCAGCACAGCGCAGAGGACAGGAAACGACAACGGATGTTTGCAGAAGCACGTATGAACGCCGGTGCAGCAACCTGCAGCAACCGTGCTTCTCTTGTACTGCCATGTAAACCTGCCGATGGAAAACATCCCTTGGCCAGAACGCAGCGTCCAAACGGCTACGAGCAGCTGCGGCTTGCGACCGATTTCAATCTTCCCACCTCGACGATGATGCACTGCGCGCTACAACGGTCACCGCGCGTGTGTGCCCCAACGGCCCGCAGGAATCTGCAGCCACCAAACTCCTGATTTGAATCTCCCCAACTCGCTATCGATGCACCGCGCGCTACAACAGTCTCCGCGCGTGTGTGCCCCAACGGCCCGCAGAAAGCCGCAGCCACCAAACTTCAGAGTTCCACTGCTGGCACCCGGTACCGCCACCGGTAGCCGTTGCTCACTGGACCGCAAGAAGGACATGCCGTGAACCAGGAACACAGGCCGTAAAAAAAAAAAAAAAAAAAAAAAAACCCTGCACCCGCGGCTGAAACCCAAGTGCGATTTTGCCTGGGCTGCACTTGAGTTTCAAGAGCGGGCACTTGAGATGCAAAATGTGAAAACAAAAAAGCATTTCTCTAGGGCGGGGTGGAACGATGATTTTTGACGTCGCACTTGAACTCAAGTGGGGTGGAACGAGGCTCTCAGGCTCTTATTCCAATAGTCCTTGCCAGTGAGATCTGGCCCTAAGATCATACTGAACTGCAGCTTCTACATTACCCCACCAGTACCTCCTGAAAGTGTGCTCGGCGTTAACGGACATGGATTTGGGGATGAACGGGCCCGTTAGGTCCGATTCAGCCAAGTGGAAAAGGCACGATTTCCACTTTTGGCTGGCCGTTAAAGCCGAGCACTTTCAGGGGGTACTGGCCCGTTAAGACCACCAGTGCTTGGCCCATACACCGGCCGCGGGCATTTCCCGTTAACACGCCGCGACTGATGGGCTTCGGCCTACCGACCGAAGCCCACCGGACCGCAATGGCTGGAGGCGCCAGCCAAAAGAAAGTCGAACCGGCACGGCGGCGGCTCGACAAAACTTGGCGCGCAGAGCATATTCAGCCTCGGGATCAATGCTTGCGCCCCCCCCCCCCCCCCCCCAACTTCTTCTGTTTGTCTATCATAGGCCAATTTTAGAGTCACATGATTTGGAGTGGTTGTTTTTCTAACAGGGGGACGAGCAGCATTCCGCACCTTGATTCACCCACCCCTGCCACTCCCCCTTCCGCAATGAATGGGATCGCGATGAATGGGATGCGATTCATGTTCCTACAGGGCCTCACCTACATACCGCCTACTGTCTTCCTACAGGGCCTCACCTACCTACCGCCTACCGTCTTCCTACAGGGCCTCACCTACCTAACGCCTACCGTCTTCTTCCCCCGAAAATGACTCTATACGACTCTATAGAGGTGTTGTGCCAGGGAGACTCTCTACAGCCTGTCTCTTATACACATCTAGATGTGTATAAGAGACAGGCCAGGGAGACTCTCTACAGCGGTGTGTTGGCGGGCAAGAGGCCCACCTACCTACCGCCTACCGTCTTCTTCCCCCGAAAATGACTCTATACGACTCTATAGAGGTGTTGTGCCAGCGAGACTCTCTACAGCGGTGTGTTGGCGGGGCAAGAGGCCCATGACAGTTAGAGCAGGCTTTACGAGGTATATTTCCGGTGGGGTACAGCAAAAAAAATGAGGGTGCGGTGTGTTGGGGGGAAGAGGGTAGCTGCCAGCCTGCTCTCCATGGCCAACACGCTCCCTGGCGCAACACCTCAGAGAGTCTCAGTTTTGTCTGAGACTCTATGAAGCGATGTCTCTATACATACTACCGTCTTCATCTGAATAGAACGCCCGGTCATTATAGCCTTTATTTGGGACAACTTTCAGACCGGATGCAGCTATAATGACGGCCGGGGGCGTTCTATTCGGGTGAAGACTGTAGGTACTCACTGTTGTTTCTATTTACTCCCCCAGTTTTCTCTTTTGAAAAGAGCGCTCCCCACCAATCGATGGAGCCTTCGTCGCAGGGGCCTACTTAGCTGGGCTGCTCTTATTCACCCCGTTAAGTAGGTTTCCCACGAAGTTTAAAAAAAGAAAGAAGAAAAAAAAAGAAAAGAAAGAATATTACACAAATTGAATGTTTTTTTTTTTTTTTTTTTTTTTCTCCTGAAAAGAAGAAAATACGAAAAGGTAATAACCAAGCTCATCATCTCCACAATGAGCAACACAACATTCTTAGACTACCAGAATACTTTCAATTCAATAATTTAAAGAGATCGAATAAACGCAACACTTCACACAAGGAATTATGTCTCACAGAGTGCAATACCCATGTCACAAGAACAATTTAAAGTGCATGTGCTTTGCCGACACACTACAGTAAGTAACCGTCTTCACCCGAATAGAACGCCCAGTCATTATCGCTGCATCTGGACTGACAGTTGGGCCAAATGCCGCTATAATTACCGGTCGTTCTATTCGGGTGAAAACGGTCGTGACGACCGTAGTACGCTGGCCGAAAGAAAAACAAGGAAAAGAAGGAAAAGGGCAATCAATCCATTAAGAAGACAGAAATTCAAAGTGAATTCCTACAGAACACACCCTCTGCCTAGATATTCCAAACAGATGAGCAATGAATCTTCCCATCAAGGGACAAAAAAACAAAAAACAGAACAAAACAAAATCAAGAAATTCAATCTCCCCATGAATGAAAACGACCTGATCGATCTTATCACAAAAGTGACAAAACACTTACTAGTCTACCAATTTGAATTTGAATTTGAATTTGAATTTGAAAACATAGAGAATTACCATCAGATAATAATAGAATAGATCCATCCTAGACTTTCGCCCCCACAAGTACATTACCACTGCAAACACACAGTGTCACCCAATCCATCAAAACAAGCAATCAGAAATAACAACGACAAACAACACAACGTAAAACAAACGGCCCGGGGGAAGAAAACAGTGTAGCACTGAGTACTAGCTGGGAGTTAGGGCCTCGCCACACAGCCTATCGAAACGCGAAAACGACAAAAATGTGGCAGGTGCATCTGGCCATGTTGTTGCGGGAAGTTCATTCTCGTTTTGCACATTTCGACAGCCTGTGTGGCGCGGCCCGTATTTCAACGCGGGTCCCGCGTTGAACCTTTCAACACACGGTGACAACGTGGCGAAACTGCGTTGAACAACCCCCCATTTATTGCGGTTCAACGCGACCCGGGAACTTCAAAAAAAAATTTTCGCAGGACCTGGTGTAATGACCCGCCAAAACACAGACTGAGAACACTGCTGATTTCTGAGTTCTGCCGCTGGAATGGATGCCTGCCTTGCTGAGATTCACGCATTCTGCTGAGTTTTCCAAGTCTGTGTGTGTGTGTGTGTGTGTGTGTGTGTGTGTGTGTGCGCGCTTGATGGTCTGCGTGCCTGTCTGAGTGCTGGTCGGCCTGAGTGTGTGTGTGTGCGTGTGTGTGTGTGTGTGATCCGCAAGGGTACTTGCTTGTTTGGGAGGCCCGTAGGACCGGTACTTAGCTGTGGCCGTGACATTGAGGGTTGCAGCGGGGGAAAACACTCAAGTGGCGGGGCAAGAGGCCCATGGCACTTAGAGCAGTGGAAAAACACTCAAGTAGGAGGTACTAGGCCGGTACCACACCAAGTAGAAGTAGATGTGCCGGGTACTCGAGGCCGAGCAGAAGAGGCCCAGTAGTTGTAGGGTAGGTCTAGGCGGGTACCAGTCCAACCAGTCTGCAATGATGTTGCCCTCCCAAAGGGAGGAGGTACCGGTTGCTTGGAGGTCGTGCGGCCTAGGAAGGGTCACCGCTCAAGAGGTAAGTAGGATGCTATATCTCCAGGAGGAGTAAAGTGCTCCTCCTCTGAGTCATCCTTCGGGGTGCAAGTTTGGCGACACACTGCTTGGAGCGTTGGTTGGAGGAGCGCTGTGCATGAGAGCGCTGCTAGGAGGAAGGAGACCGGTAGGAAACTCGCCACCTCAGCTATGGTGGAGCTCTACCGGTAGGAGGAGGAGGAAGAAGAGGGCTAGGAGGGAGAGTGGCGAGGTTCCTACCTGGCTATGGTGGGCACCATCTTCATCACCTTGTTAGGCGCTGCATCTAGAAAGCCCCAGTCGGGGTTGCGCTGCACTAAGAAAGCTTCAACTTGAAGGCGGAGTCAGCATGGCGGCCTGAACAGCAGCGAGCATAGCTGCTTAAGTTTGTGTTGTCCTTTGCACAGCAGGGCAAGGCCCTAGAAGTCCGCCATAGCCTTGACCTACATGAAGAGGAAGGAGAAGGGTGGCCATGGCTATGGTGGACCTCATGTTGTGTGCCTGCAGTAGAAGAGGGATGCGGACATTGATTCTCTTTCAGCCATTCAACATTATTATTGTTATTTATTGTTTGAATAAAGAGGGGAGGAGAAAAGGAGGAGGAGAGAGGTTGACGAGAAGGAGGGAATTATCATTGGTCTATGCTGGTGTACATCTTCTTCTTCTTCTCTCATTCGTCTTCGTCTTCTTCTTCTTCTTTCCCTCTCTCTACTCTCAAGTTCATTCATTTCTTTTTGCAATTGGACGGCATTGCACTTTCTCATAAATGTGTACTTCAAAAATTGGCCAGGATCATAACACTGGCAAAAAATGAACAAAAATATAGGGTTGTAGATCTTTTCAATATCGATAACCCTCTATTTTTTACTTTATTTTTTGAACATTTATTATATTTTTAGAAAATCGAAAACCACACAAAGAAAGAAACGAACAAAAATAAGAGATGGAATGGGTGGGTTTTGCTTTTTTTCACAAAGATTTTTTTTTTTGCGGGCAAAAAACAAGGAAAAAAAACTAAAAATAAAAAATATAGGGTTGTAGATCTTTTACAGAGCTACAACCGCATGTTTTTTATTATTTTTTGTAAACTTTAGATGTATTTAAAAAAAAAAAACATAAAAACCGAAA